TGGGGAATTCTGGGAGTTGAAGTCCACACATGTTAAAGTTGCCAAGGTTGAGAAACACTGGCTTAAACTGTGGCCTGCAGTGCTTACTCAGAATCCTCAGTTCTCCCTGCTTTCAGAAATTGTTTTGCTTGAAATTTGTTTCTAAAAATCATCTTTGCTTCAATAATGCAAACAATAATACAGTGCAAAGCTTGTTAAAATTCTGCCAAGGAATAATATGAGTTAAAGGTATCAAGGGAAAAGAATAGAAGCATACATACATAAAACAAATAATATACTTCCATTGTCAGTTTTAAGGACCTCATCAATATCCAGAAGAAAGACCTCAATTTGAAGTTGCCTTCTATTTTAAGGAGTGTCGCATCCAAATGTATTGGGACCAATTTGAATGACCACATCGATAGGCACTCTCTGATCTTTTTGTATAGCAACAAATCCTGTAACAGATAAAGTAGGGATGGGATAAAATGGGACATCATAGAAATCTGGTGCAGGAAAATATGACTTCACCCATTCCATTTCCATGACAAGCTTGCTTCTTTTTGAAATGTCTATACTGATTACTTTAATGCAAGTCATCTTTTGGTAGTCAGGATTTGAATTTTCTTGTGGTGGAGGGGACTGTAGATGATGAGGCAATGATGCCAAATGAGCAGAGCATTATCACAGTATTCAACAGCCATCTCACTAAGTTTGGCAACACATCTGTAAGAGGTTCTGGGGATTAAAAGTGGGATTTGGGAAGTGCATGTTGCCACAAGTTGAGTGCTCTGGCTTTAGTGCAATTCAGTTACAACATATCATTCATCTGTATTCATCAACCTTCTTAAACCAGAAAGATGTAACTAAATAGCATATATTGGCAACTCAGTGTTTCTTGTTCGTCTGTTTGTCCATCTGTACCAACTTAATCTTCAATGGAGCAATGTAGTTGTACATTCTTCTAGAATTCTGCAATCCAGGTAGTTTATAAGACACCAAAGTAATTGGTCCATTGCCCTGAGGAGGGTTAGGTCTGTGGAGGTCAAAAGATCTGACTACAGCAATGGTTCCTTCCCATTATCTTCATTATTTTGCAGACTAACTCAAATCTTACATATTTCTGTAACACATGTTGGATTACATAATGTTTTGGACAAGTTAAATTTCAACAAAAATATAAACATTTAACAAATCCATCCAAATGTTATCTTCACTTCAAGTGCTGTATGGCTTTCACACATGCTGTCTTAAGAGCCTTCTATTAAGAGGGTTAGGGTAAGAGAAATATCCCACGAACTGATGGTTTTGAAAGAGGCAGCATCTCTAGGATAGATCTTTTCCTCATCCGATCTCCACATGCTTACCACAATCCCATAGTGAGAGTCAGTTCAAAGACAACTTTAAAGCAAATGAGATCCTATAAAAGGTCATACTAGACTGCCCAGATGCAGAATATACCAGACATAATTCATGGGCCTGGAGAGTAGCCCTCCTCTCTCTCCCTTCACCTCTGTCTCATCACAGTATCTTTTAGCTGAACTTTTCTGTATACTAGGCTTTTTTTTTTCTGTCATTCTTGACAATGTTGTCCTTTGTATTCTTCCCAACCCAATGGAAAGTGGGAAAGATGTTATATAAAGGAGCTCAGGACTCTGTCTGTCTGTCTATCTGTCAGCAGGATAACCATCTGGAAAAAAAGAATAAAATGTGACCCTATTTGCTGGGAGGAGTGGGATCAAAAATAAAAAATGGTCCAGATCCAGCTGTACTCTGCAGAGGGGAAAAGTCCATTAAAAATCCCTCAGTGCATCCATATGGGAAAAGGAATTCCTCAAGCCACACTCTGCTCACTTTCCCTACTTGGTTTATGTGACAGCTACAACTATCCATTAGGCATAAGAGACACAGTGTCTAGGGCAGTGTTGTCCAAACTTGGCCACTTTAAGATGAGTGGACTTCAACTCCCAGAATTCCC